TTCTATAGTTTTTTTCGAAAACTTGAGTACAATGGTAGTACTTCGCTCTAGTATTGCCAGTTTGTTTTATGAACAACTGTTTTTTTCTGTGTGTGGGTGTGTAAGAATTCGTTCTTGTTATTTGGACAGACTTTAATATTCCGTAGATGTCGAAACACTGCTCGTCACTGATGTTTGGTATTGGAATATATATAGATGCTGGGTGTTTAGCTTTTAAATCGCTAATGTATTAATACCAGCTTAATTTCACGTTCAACACTGCTGTGGGAACGCATGGAGTTTCTGTGTATTTTTCGAGTACTCTGTCGCTATTGATATGGTGAGAACGAAATTCTCGAATCTTTTCTGTCACCACTGTTGTGGGACTGGCAAGGTATTGCGGTTTTTCGACGTAAATGCGTTTCTAGAATTCTTCGTCGACCCAGATGTGGGATTGCTAAGGTATTTAGATTTCGCCGTGAGTGCGTTTCTAGAATCCTCGTCGCCACTGATGTGGGGCCAAAGTTGAGACCACAGAAGTAAAACACGGAACACGGATTAGATGTAAGAAAGATATATTAACAACAGGTTACAGAGATAGTGTAAGCGGAGCTTACTATATGTTAGTGTCCAATACTGGTAGTCGTACGAGACTCTCACTGTCTCTCTGTGTCACTCTCAGTGACTCTCTAGAGTGCTATGTCGCCTACTTAATATAGGCCTGGAAGAGTCTATTGTGTAGGTAGTTTCCGGTCTCACAATAAGTATGATTTGATCTCGTCGATAAATTTCGAAATGAACATGGGAAGAGAGTAGAATGAATTTTGAACAGATTGGGATGGCTCGGGTTTGGTAAAAGGTTCGAGTTACATCAACAGGTTCTAGTTAGTGGAATTAACTTAAAAGAGCTTGTTCAAGTTTACATAGTTTTGTCTATTCAGATCATAGGCTCGTTTGATATTCGAAATTTACGCCTCATTATTTGATTTGATATTGAAGGTTTTTCAGCACTAATTGATAACAACGTTAAAGCGAAGAATCATGGGAATAAATAATGGAACAAATTGAAAAATAGAATTTTTCTTTGGTGCGATTACAGCTACCGACTTAAACCTTGCACTAACTGAGGTGTCAACTCTGAAAATGTAGACGATGTAGCCTTCATTAAGGCAGTGCTAGCCATCTTTCTTAACAAAAAGGACTAGCTTTTGATAGTTAATGTAGTAAGTCAAGAAGAATGTCACCGAAATGACTGTGACCTCGGAATTGAGTTCAGACGATCTTTAAAATGCCACATCACAAAATGTATAACATTTGACAACAGAGGACGTCTGTGAGAAAGTTCGTGTTTATTACCAGAGTTTTAAAAGGACATAAATCGATCTAAAATCTGTTGACATCAACGCCGGTTTAACTGAATTCTCTCGCTTTAAAGCGACTAATATAGGTTGACTTGAAGGTTACATAACTGAGAATAAGATTCAGGAATCTCCTGGGTCCTGGGTAAGACGATAAACTATGTCCGACAGCAAGGCTGCTGATGAGGAGGTTCTGAGGAGCATGGAACCACCTCTTAATTGCTGGTGTTCCCTGGGCCACCCTGACACGGGGTGGTAGCACCTGTTAGGATCCCAGCTATGGGCAAATAGATAACACTCAAACTGGGGTTAAAACAATGTAAAAAAGTGTAAAAATAGGTTTTAATATAAGAAATAATTTGTAAAAATTATTACAAGCAATAAATTTTGAAGAAAAAATTATTACCAGTAATACATTGTGACCAGCAATACATTTTTTGAAATATATATATATATATATATATATATATATATATATATATATATATATATAAGACATTTTTTATATTTATACATTCTTTTTTATTTATTTAACTGTATTTGTATAAATATAAAAATGTCTTAAAATAATTGTCGACTTTCATAATATATATATATATATATATATGTTATTAATATATATATATATATATATATATATATATATATATATATATATATATATATATATATTACCAGATATACATTTTGAAAAAAAAAATATCAGAAATAGATTTTTGAAGGAAAAATATTACCAACAACATATTTTTAGAAAAAAAATATTATCAGCGATAAAAATTTTGTCGGCATTAAATAACCCATTGAGGTTGATATACTGTAAAACAAACCAAACCAAACCAAACCAGGAAGCTTCCAAGAAGGTTCAGTTGGATAAAATTCCAAGGATCAATGGTCTCTCTATTGAATTTTATTTGAGGCTGTCTACACCCGTTTGTTCCCATGATGTCATTCATCTTAAACAACTGGATAAAACAGGAGAATAATCATCAAATTTTCACCGAGAGCGAAGTTGCTAAGCAAGACACAAACAGGATGAGGGTAAGACTAGTTATTTGGGGCCTTTTTTTATTGTAATATACTTTCAGGGCGTCTTCGATTATTGATCTCCACAGATTCCGTTTCTTTATCATCTGTGAATGGTTAATATCAATTTTATTGTGAAATAAATATTTTGATTTACATCACAAAATTTGACAGAGACCCAAGATCAATTATTACAAACCTCAACGAATGGCATACATACTGAAAGATAAATGTAAAAATGACTAAGCGGGGGGCATTTTAGTCGTATAATTTTCAAAATAAGGCCCACCGTTCGGATTTGTGGAGATTATAAAATGGGCATTAATCCTGTTAATAAGATAATATCTGGAAGACCGAAAAACGTTATGCGACATTTGCAGTAATAAGATAATCTGATCCTAAGTTGGATCGCAGCCATGCCTATCAACAGTTGCCATTGAACAAAGATTCCAAGAATTTTGTTACTGTCAGCCCTCACAAAAAAACTCTATTTGTACAATTGTTTTGTAATTCCCACTTGGAATTTTGCAAAGAACAATGGAAAATATTCCCATTCTATTGTTAAAGGTATTGTTAATATACATGAAGCTTTCTTGTTCGGAAAGACAATGAAGTAGGTTATATAAGTTTGGTGGAGTCCAAAATACGAAAAAAAGTTTAAATTCAGGTTCCTGGAGGTGATGTAGGTCACAGAAACTGCATTCAACGAACCGAAGACAAGGTATAGGCTCTGAAGAATTCCTGGCATGCAATAAAGGTCAGAGAGTCACAAGTATTTTTAGGAATGTCATATTATCAGGCACACTACATTCTAAGCATCTCAAATATTTTAACACTATTGCTACTGATGAAGGAAGCAGATTAGAATCATGAAACAATACCAACAGTTCTATGAACTCTGCGAAAATTATCTTTGTATTTTGATCCAAACAAGGAACTCATTATAACTTGCGACGACTCGACATGTCAAATGAGACATATTGCCTGTCTAACTAAAACGCAAGCACATACAAAAAATAAAATCTATGAACCAAATTGACAAGGAGACCGCAGTTTTGGATTTTGGCATTCGAAAACTTCACTAGTATTTTTCATAAAGTCATACATTCAAGTTCTATAAGGTAATAATCTTCAATGTATTCCTGAAATTATCTATGCAAAGATTCATACTATTATGCTGTCGCCCGATTCCTATCAGAAAGATAAGAAGAATGGAAATTCGTTCAGCTGAAGTTGCTTGCCACTTTTTAACATCGTCAAAGAAATTCCGATTCTCGTCAAAACCATTATGTCTTGAAGTACCTAAATCAAAACCCAAGCATATATCAATTGTGAAATGGACTATACAGAATGCAGATTTCAAACATGTTTTTTGTTAACGTCAGACATGGATGGTGAAACGAATATACAAACCAAACGTCAGACATGGATGGTGAAACGAATATACAAACCAAACGTCTTTCAATAACTTTCTGTCTATTGCTGGATTAATTTGTTTCTTTTGGCTTATCAACCCTTTGAAGGTTATTTAAAGGAAGAAAATCTTTTTACAGTGTAAAAATTTTCTTTTAAGATAATAATGATTGTACTGATTAAAGTTTTACTATTTACCCACCCCCCTAGCTGTGGTGGGTGGATTCATACCTTTTCCAATGGTATTTTAACGTAAGTAAATATAACAAACCCGACTGGAATTAGAACTCGGCTCTCCTATTTCGAATTCTGAGTCGTTATCCATTCTTGCATCCAACTTAGAGCACCTAGTATTCCCAAGTTGTCAATCATCTAGGTACTGACAAAGCTTGACGTTGCTTAACTTCGGTGATATGGTCGTAAGCCCTCCTTGTGGAGGGAAAAATACGTGTATTTTCTATAGAAACGCGTTTATTGTACCTTTTCAATGAAAGAAAGAACCCTGAGTGACATTGCATAATGGACATTTTTGGTCGCCTCATCGTGACAAGGACATTGAGTCGAAAGTGATAAACTTATTCATCATATTTCTCGGATAAATATTGCTATGCCTGTATTGGGTCCTTTATAACCTTGAAAAATCCCAGAGCGAAAATGATCAATATTGTCCATAAACTAGGCTGGTTCAATCCCGAGGAAACAATTTCTTGTCGTTTTAGATACTTCACTAGCCGGCTGTAGATATTACAAATTCTGCTACGGAACAATAACAACTGAAAGACTACAAATTGGTTTTCTTACGCAAGGAATCCCGGATATAAATAATTCTTTTGTCAGCAAGAAAGATTTTATTTGAAGAAATGTAATAAAACTTTTTTCTTAAAATGGATTAACAAAAATATATGTGAATCTTCAAGAGGAGATTAAAAGTTTGATTTGATTGGTTGAATCGTTTTTAACGGATTATCAACCTTTCGTAGGTTATTTAAAGCTGAAGAATTTTGTTTTTGCAAATGGAAATTATATTAACCATTTTTTGAAGATAGTATTAATTTTCAGAAACAAGTTTTACTATTTAACCAATGGATGGGGGGAAAGAGGTGGATTCATGCCTTTTCTAAGGTTATTTGCGCATAAGTGAATGTGATGATCGCGACTGGAATTCGAACTCGGCTTTCCTACTTCTCATTTACAGATGTTATCCTTTACACCACCCGCACATCCAAGTTTGCAGCACTTTGTATTCACAAGCGGTCACCCATCTAGGTCCCGACCAGGCTCGACGTTGCTTAACTTCAAAAATCAGTTAACGGGTGCATGTATGGGAGCCGGTGTTTCAACGTGATATGATCGCAGGCTCAAAAGGATGAATAAAGAAAGTGGATCTTTTAATAAAACCCTAAATAGATTCTTGTTGTTTGACAATTCGTCTTCACAAAATGTTACGTAAGAATCAATGGTGAATAAGAAAGTAAAAGCCATTGTGGACTTAGCGATCCAAACAGATGACAACTTGTCTGTGAGAATATGAGGAGAAAGTAGGTAATTCAGAAGATTATTCATGCTAAATCAGTTGTTGGGCGTGGATTCCAAAGAAATTCCGTCGTAATGGGGAAAAACGCTAACACAACAGCAGAATGGTTCTGTACAGGGCTGGGTTAACCATTAATCAAAAATAAGCACATGCTTAGTGCATCAAGTGAAGAGGACCACACTGAAATTTTAATAACATGATATTGTTGCATATGTCTAAAGAAATAAGTCAAACATGATTAACATTTGAATCAACGGGATGCCATTTTGAACGAGGAGACAACTGACCCGCAGTGAATCTTTATTGCCATCCTGATTGGTTAATAAGGGAATGAACTAAGGGAGATAATGAGGTTTTTATTTACTCAATACATCACATCAGCTCCCTTGAATAAGTAATACTAATTAACTTAATGGGAATATTCGTGAACAGGAGTAGACTACCTTCATAACCATATGTTTATGTGACACGCTGGTTTGTTGATTACACGACCACTTCTGGTCACAGTTCTGTTAGAATCTGGTTGTGGCTCATGTGACAGTAGCTGCTCAACTGTGATTGGTTCTTTCTTGGTTAATGTTGTTCTGGGTTAGAATTGATGATCATCCTCTCTCGATGGTCATATGTGCCTTTAGTTCCTTCTATATTTATTTTCAGTTAGTATTTCCACGTTTTATGTTCTCGGTTGGTATCCTTTATTTGCACTACTCACCAAGACTCCATAACTAGTATATTTAACTCTTAGATGAAAGAGGGCCCGAAAATCTTTTAAGTGCTTAGGGCCCCTATGGGTCTTAATCCGGCCCTGGTTCTATGGAACACTGATAGCTAAAACCGATTCCTTATTTGCTTCATTTGAACTCCGAGAATGCAATTCGATATCGATTATGTGAAATTGCATAAAAAAAGTTTTAACAAAAACCCACTAACAGAGTGAAGATGTGTAACAGACTTGATAAGAATATCGATCAAGTATAGGTCAATACAAAGGTCAGCAGAGATAATTTCGACAATGCAGGAAGCACTGAACATCGAACAAGAAGTCGGGAAAATGTCGAGCCAGGAAATGAAGTCAACCAAGAGAGCTGTGATGTTAATTCAGATTTTCCAGCGAACAGTGCAACTAAATCCCGCCTAAAACTTCGTAGACGGCCTCGATATTTGGAAGATTTGTGCAGACATCATTCCTATTTTCCATGAATTGTTAATTTATGTTTTAAGAAAATAACTTTACAAGTTTTTTCACGAGTCTGTGCTGTAATCTAAAATGCACAATTTTTAAATTAGATTTAGCTTTCCATTTTTTCAAGATCCTGAAGCTTTTGAAGTTAAAAAGGAGAAATTTAATCAATTGCTTAAAGCAAATATTTATTCAAAGCAAGAAAAGAATGTATTAGCAAGTTAAATCTTTAGACAAACTTCTATTATAAAAATAAATAAATATTTTTTATTGAATGTTGTTACATGTTTCAGAACTTCCCCTTCCTTCGTCAGCTCCAAATTTAAATTGATTTATTCTTTATCTTCAAATGCAAAAGGACAATAATTCAAAATGTTTTTTTATCAGTTCATCCCAAGCAAGGTGATAAAGCCACTAAGACTCAGGGAGTTACTGAGTGCGATGGAAATTAAAAGAATTGGATTCTAAGTGGCAGAAGATGACGATTGACGTAACATTTAAATCTTTGAGGAAAGCAAGCAGTCGGAAAAGAGATCCACAAGCAAGAAATGAGGGAGAAGAAACTATCGGAATAGAACTTACGGTTACAAAAGTTTAAAATTAGAAGAAGAAGAAAAAGAAGAAAAAAACAGTATAAAGAGGAGGAGGGTATCTAGCAATAAAGGTTTTGTTTAATTCTATAAAATTATTTTTACATCCGCAAGACTATCATGGATAATTTAACTTGTTTATTAAAATAAGTCACCCTTTTTATAATTCGAAATAATTAAATTAATAATATTTTTTATTAACAATAATGATAATATAATTAAAGAAGATAATTAAGCTTTATCTGTCTATATCTCTAAGATGAGGGATTATGATTACTTGGATTATATGGACTTTTATCCTCATCTTCATTGCCATATTCACAACGTTTCGGCCGTTGTATTCTCCGGCCTTCTTCAGGTCATTGGAATTTCGAACCGAACCCTTTATTTCGTCCACCGGAATAGATTGTTCTAGTTACACGTGCCATGTCTCTTCCGAATGTCTCAGTTATTTCCCTTTTAACTCAACTCTCAAAGTATTTAGTCCGCCACTGCTGTGGCCCGGTATTGAACTCACAGCTCTTTATGTCTAGTCACTTGATCTAACCAACTTCTTTATCCTCTGGGCCATGTGCCCTTGAGTCCGAAACGTTGTCAATATGTCAATGAAGATGAAGATAACAGTCCGAATAATATAATTAACGCAACTAATTAAATTGATAATTTGAATTGAATGTGAATTCGACTGGAATTCGAACTCAACTCTCCCAGGTTCCTCAATCCGAGCCTCCACTGATTGAACTCAATCAAAGTAAAAATAAGCAGAAAATAACCTTATCTTTTGTTAAATATAATTATTTAAGTATCACTTATTTTTAATTAATAACTGCAATTTTTTGTCAAAGAATAATTATTATCTTCCGCATTCTTTTTTTATTCATTCTGTCGATATGCTTGGAGAAGTTTTTGATGTTACCCTACTGGTCTGCAAACATTCTGCTTACGACCGCTAGATGGCGTTGTCAAAATGAAATGTATAAGAAAAGCGCGAAAAATTTCATCGTCTCGCTTTCTCTTTCAGTCACAGGAAGTCTTAGACATAAGAAGTGTTTCGTTTCAATTTTGGTGTGCAGGGTTTGATCTCCGTTGGGCTGCATATCAAAATAAAAACAATATAGTTAATACCCCATCACGTAAATGTCCTAAACTTGACTTACACACAGGCCTCTCTTAACAATCTTATCAAACCGAGAACGAACACTTCTCTAAATGTACGTCTCTTACAATCATTTCTATGAACTTTGTACACACACGTACGTATGAAAAGGAAGGTCTACACACACACACACACACGCGCGCACGCACTCACTCACATTCATTCAAGTCTTTTGTATTCTTTTTATTTCCTTTGTTCAAGTAATATGTCGTCGTTGTTGTTATTGTTAAATGTAAGTAATTATGTAAGTATTCGTCCTTGTAGTCACTTGTTTGAAAAGCAAACAAACTTCAAAGCATTCACTATCTACTAAAATTACTACGCAATATCTCTTACCAAATATATCTCTTCAACATTTGGTAATCATGCAACAAAATAAAGATCTCAGGTTTATTTAATTTTACAAGGCTCATATTTGGTATCTGTCAAAATTTTCATTTTCAAACTTGCTGAATAAACCAAGCTTTGTAATATCTGCAAAAATTCATCCGTTTTTTTTTGTTTTTTTTTTTTCTTCTTTTTCTTCTTCTTCCCTTTTCAAATCCTCGGCTACAAAAATAACTATCCTTATCGGATTTCTTGAAAGTTTCTGAAAGATTCGTGAGTTCCAGATCTATAAGATATCAGCATCGGGAGGCAAACGCCAGTCTCTCTTCTGGTTTGAAAAACAGAAAGAAAAGAAAAATAACATCGAAGTTGAGTGAATCGTAAATTGAAGTGGGCAGACGCCATTTTTTAGTTTGGAATTAATGGCAGCGAGTCTTTGTAAAATTTATCTGAAATAAAAAATAAACATAATGGCGTCATAAAATGCGGTTTAAAATTTCGAAGCAGATATTTATTGAGGCGAAAGAAACTCAAGATTCAGTTTCTCAACGAAATATGCTTACATATTTTAATACTTACACACACAGATACAGATACACACACACGAATGTGTGTATGTGTATATATATATATATATATATATATATATATATATATATATATATATATATATATATTCAAACATATATTGTTAAATGTTGTGACCAAGTAAATGGTTAAAGAAACAACAAAACAAGTGTTGCAGATATATTATATACTAGCAGCAGAGCCCGGCGTTGCCCGGGGATGTAACAGTAAGAGATAGATCAAGTATCGACAATCATAAAGACTGAAAAATAAAATTGACAAAGATTATTGTTTAAGGTTGCCGGACACGCATGTCTTAATTAGATTTTTTTTTTAGTTTTTTTTTTTTTTTTTTTTTTACGAATTGGTCAAACCCAAACTCAAACAAAAACATTGTTTACAATCGTTATGAATCTACCGATATCTATGATTAACAGTAAGTACAACAGAAGAGTATTACACGACTAGTGTATGCGTGTGTGTGTGTGTCAGATGACCCAGCGTTCACTCTATTCGACTGTTAATATTTAACGACCCCCCCCACCCCACCACGAATGATGTATGAGGCACAAGGCCGAATTTAGCGTGGGCTCTCCGAGCCCGTAGGCTCAGCCAAAAATATTCCTTTAGAATAAGCATAAACAGGTATAAACGGGTTCAGGGTCTATCTACCTCCCCGGACGAAACTTTACCCTTCGGCAAAGCCTCGTCCGGGTTCCTCTCTGCTCATCTTGCATCACAATGTTTATTTAAAATCAGAGCAAAATGTTGGTTATAATTACTTTGTTTTTTATCCATTAGTGAAAGAAAATAGTAAACTAGTAGAAAAAAAGTAAGGATAATTCAAAGTGTCAGACATTGATAAGGATGTAGTAACTTGAAACAATTGTTTAAAAAAAAACTATTATTTTAGAGTCAATGAGAAAAACCTTCTTTCGATCTAAAAGTTTCTCATTCAGACGTCAAAGGAATCAGTCAACAATAAGTTGCTCTAGTTTGAAA